TTGAGGTGGGAGAGGCCAGAGCTGGTCTGTGCTTCTTCAGGGGGATGTATCTCTGAAGACCTGCTATTCATATTGTGCTGCTGATTCAAGTATCTCACAGCATTTCAGGAAAAGCCTTGAACAGCCCAGGAAGAGTTCAGGAGGGTGGCTGCGGCAGGCAGGAGGAGCTAGAGCTTGGGCCTCCTGACTCCCAAACTCATGCTTCCTCCCTCGGCCTGCACAGGTCTCAGCTCCAGGGATCGTGCTGTTACAGATGGCCAAGCAGGAAGTTTAATGCACTTTCAGTGCTCTCTTTTTCACTGTTGTGAGGTGGTTTTAGAAAATACCTGCACTCTGACTAAGGTGGGAGAGTCTTCTGGGATAACACCACCAAGTAAACCTACATAATGCTGCGTCTTATAGTTGTAATGTCTTCATAAGCAACGTCAGAACAGAGAACTAGTTAATAAAGTTTACAAACCCTTCTCAAACACCCTTATTTTTATGAGCTTTCACATTGAGAAGAAGCTGCCCCCATGCTCTCAAATGGTTTTGGCAGTTCTCTGCTTCATCAGACTTGCTGTCATCCACCCCTTATTGACTTTGAACAGTAATCTAGATTGGTCCTACTCTTTTCAAAAAGTATGTAAAGTATTTTTGCTATTCTTCGGGGCTACTTCTTATATTTTGCTAGCTTTATCAGCTTCTTTCAGCCTGTGAATCTTCCTTGCTTGTTCTTCTCCATCCAAAGGCTTTGCCATCACATTGTTGGAAAGGTTTTTTTTCATTGTTTGATATGAAGCTGAACTGGACCTGATGTTTGGTTTGCCGAGAGGCAGGATGGGCATCGAAATGTAGTGGCCTTGTTCTCACTTCTGTTGGGAACCCAACAGCCACATGATTCTTTGGCTATGGCCAAGTGTTGCCGGAGAGAGAAGTGCTGGTTCTCCTAAGGCAGCATCATCCCTAGGGGCTTACCAACCATTCAGCTCAATGGATAGACCCCTTGCAGCCCTTGAGCCAATACCCTGGTCTCATTTGATTTAATAGTAGAGACATGTTGCTGGATACTTTCTGAAAGATGCCTTAAAAACCCTTAAAAAGGAAAGGACCAAATCCTGGTGGCTTTTGAGAATAACATCCATCCCTACATCTGTTCCTGAAGTAAAAAACTTCAAGAGAATTTAAAGCCAAACCTTTCAGCCCACGTGATCTACTGTGTTCTAATCACATTATTGAAAACTTTTGAGGGGAATTGCCATTCTGTACCGCCATACAGTTGAACATAGCAAGACCTGTCTCAGAAAGTGAGGGTTTGGGGAACACCGCATAGTGTAGCTGCTCCAGGGATTGCGGTTCTCTGGCAAGTCCTGTTGCATCTTCATTCTTCATCTTGTAATTTTTATAAAATGCTATTAATTGTAATGATTTTTCCTCCAGAATTTATTACTGAGAGATAGAATTAGCCCCAGGAAGAGATGGGGAGAAAAGGAAGAGGTTCAGGAGACAAAACATGGTGGTGCTGGGCAGCAAGTCTCTTTAGGAATGGAAGTCACTGGTGCACATTCAAAGGAACTTAAGTGTCCAAGAATTTAAGTGGGTACTTCATGTGTTTAATCTAATGGACTTAATTGAAATTGAATATCAACAAGTTGTGAAGACAAATTTTGTGCCAGAAGATTAATTCAGAGATGACTTCTTTTAGAGTGAGCAAATAAATTTAATTAATTGTTCAGAGAAACCAGATACACCAAACAACTAGTAAGGAAACATAAGTATCTTAAGGATCTGGCACCTTGCAAAGGAAACTGAAGAACTGTTATCATGAATTACTCAGGCTGCCAGCTGAGAATAAACTTCCTGGAAGAGTGGGCAGGAATTTTTGGGTTGCTTCTTTAACCAAGGATTTTGTGTAAGGCAGGAAAATGCCTCAGCATTTGCAGACACTGAAAAACTTATAAAACAGTCAATGTTTTTAGAAGTTAAAAATTCATATGTAATTTAAAAAAAAGGAAAAAAAAATCCTTTGGGAAAATATACAAGCTATTAAACAAGACCTAGATTTTGCTCTGATTTGCTCTTTATATTTAGCCCTTGATCCTAAATTTTGCTAAAAGCAATTGTCATTAGTCTCCAGAAACATTAGGCCTTGTGTGAGGGAATATAGGTATTCCTTCTTTTAATACTTAGACAGTAACCTCGATTCATTTATCTGAGGTCATTTTTAAATGACAAGTAAGTCAAGACTTGACCGTTCACAAGAAAAAAATACCATTTACTGACATAGAAATCACTTTTACGCCCAGCCACACCTATGCATTTATACAAGACCTAATGTATGGGGAAGTTACTGGCAACCAAAATCCCGTTTACCTCGTAAGTCACCAGTAGAGTTGTGTAGTTTTCCTTACTCATGTTTCTGTGCCATAAGTTAATGTGAGTAACAGCAAAAATAGCAGCACTGAACCTCTATCAAATACCTACAGCAGTGGGTCAGCAAAATGATGGCAGAGCTACCGAGTTTTCACCAGAAGAGGGTATATCCTCTATTTTTAATACATTCATCTTGAAAAAACATGATTTGTTTTTAAGTTGCAGAACGACATTGCAATTTTCACAGCAGCAGTCCCATCGCCTCTTGTCTTTAGGAGCTGGTAGGATTTATTTTCTCTATAATCAAGCCAAGGTGCCTATTGATTCTCCTGGGAGTTACCTGTGTCGGTGACAAGCAGGGCTGCATAACACACACCGTGGAGCTGTCCTGCCATGTGTGCTCATTGCAGTGGTGTAACAGGGAGCGGCAAAGCCAAATCGTTAGCGGTGGCTCAGGTGGTGGCACAGCATTCCTCTTTTTACGATACCTCTCTGCAGACATCCTGACGCCTGATCTTACAAAGAAAACTTGAAAAAGAAAAGATAATGTGTTCCTTGTTGGTGCCTCTCTCCATAACATCCGTTTCTTACTCATGCTGGCTTCAGCAAGTGCAGGGGCGCAGCTGCCCAAATGGGCCAGATCCTGGGAACCGGCCAAATGTCACCAGCCCTCCAGTGGGTCCAGTGCAAGTCCCTGTCAAGCCTGAAACTACTGCTAGTTAGCATGGTGGCTAGGGAGTTTTGGCCACACAGGAGGCAGTGAGAGGAGGCAGAGTTCACATAACACCACCAAGTGGCTTTACAGTGAGCCTGTTTCTACCAGAGTCATTCTCATGAGGCCACACACACTTTTTGCCCGAATTCTGTAACATATTGCGGTGCTGCTAGGCTGAAGAACTGGTGGTATAGATTTCAGAATAACCTATAACAGATTTCTCTTTATGCCTCACTTTCCAATTTGCTGTTAAGGGACTCCAGCACATGCCCTCTGCTCCCATGTAAATAAAAATTTACTGTGGAGGCGCAGGTGCGGTAGGAACAGAGATCACAGCAGTGAGACACCGTAGGTAGATTCTTTTCTTACAGATTGCTTAACCCCCTCCCCTCAAACAATAGCCTTCTTTATGCTAACTCCCTTTTTTTAAAAAAAAAATAATATCTGTTTTAAGGTAGTAAATTACGCTGCTTTCTTCATTCCTGAAAAAGAAATTCAGATCTGGCCAGGAGGCCCTACAAATTCAATAACAAGTTATTAGAAACAGACAAAGAAATACTAACATTAGGTGCAGTATTTCTTTGGCATTCAGATAAGTGATATTTCTCTCTTCAAAGAGCTACAGGACTTTAAGAATACATCTAGCTAGCATTTATGGCTTTCAGTAGCAATTACTCAGGGTTGCTTAGTTTCAACTGGAAAAAATTAGAATAGGGTTGTTAGTAGCTGTGAGAGATACAAAATGAATCCCATTTTGTGGATGATAAGCCAATCTGACAATGTCAGAATTACATAGCTGGAAATAACAAGCATGTTATCAGCTTTTTGCATGGATATAAGTGTGCAATGTAAAAAAAGATTCAGTCTGCAAGATTTCCACCTTCATTAGTGGTATTTTCTTAGCAAGAACGTTAATTTTTTAAGTTAATATCAGTAATATAGTTTTCTCTTTAAGATTCTTGGGAGCTTCTGTTATCATAGCTATGAAAAAAAGCTGTTCCCTATAGCTGGGCTATTGCTGCTCAACAAGTTACTCTATACCTCATTTTCATTTAAGGGTGTGAAATGACATGTTGGGAGGTAGATTACTGGGGATGAGCATTTCACACCCCACTGGTAACATCTTCAACATGCAGAGTTCAGATCATGTTGTAGGCATCATGCTCTGCTTTCTAACCACAAGGGACTTCTTGCAGCAATACTTAAGAGAACTGATGATACCACTTTGCCAAATGAAACATGCCTCCTTCATTTTGGGGGGTTGTAAAGAAGAATTGTGATTTAAATGAAAGGTTTAAATGAAACTTCTGTGAATAAAGTTCCTGTACTCTCTCCTCCTTTCTGAAACAGACACCCATGGTACAGAGGATTTCATTGCAAGGGACCATTTTTGCTAGAAATATTATTGTTAAAATTATAGCTACGCATCTGCTTAATCATGGTTCAGTATTTCTAAATTAGAAAATACCAAGACAGTAAGCGAGATGACAGTAATAGTTGATCTTTGTAAAATTCTTTGGAAAACCATAAAAAGAAACATGCTGACAACTGCAAATGTCCTTGTGACCTGTTGTGTCTGATTTACAAGGCGGTTGTACAACATTCCCAAAATTAAAGAGAAAATGTGTATTATTTCACTAGACTGATAATCAGTCATCTGTGTCATGCTGATGTATGTCGGTCCAAGTTGATCAGAATCTTTTTTCAGTACTTTGGCATTAATGTATGTTTGAAGAAGGCATAAATTGATTACAGTGTGTCAGCCTGTATCTCATGACTGCAATGACTCTCAATGAGTTAAAAAAAGAAGAAAGATGGAAGATTTAAAAAAAAAAAAAAAGAGAGAGATTGAAAGGGAGAGTAAGAATACACATGCCAGTCTGACACGGGGGTCTTACTACATTCATATTCGCTATGCTTTTGTATTTTATAGTCCATTAACATTATGGAGCGGACATTGCAGAAATACGGGAGTTATGAAAAATTTGAGCAGGCCACCGGAGGCAGCTTGCTGACCAAAAGTCGCATCTGGAATCATGTCAGGAAATACATGGTGAAAGAAGGCTGTCTTGGTGAGGTAAGTCATACACTGGATCAGGAAAGAAACATTTATGTAGATCTTAGAAATTACACATGGATGGACCCGAGAGACCACTTGGGAGGCCTTTCCTCCATAATTACAAGAATATTCCTTACATCATGTTTTTCTCATGGCTGTGTCCAGTCTAATTTTTGAACAATTGAAATGATGCACATTCCTTGTGAATGCTTCAGCCACCTCTCTGAGCCTGTTTCTGATTCATGTATGCTTGTTCTTAAATTCACCTCTTTTGGGAGTACCCAAGAACGACACCCTTCCTTCCCTCCTTTTTTCAACTACTTGGAGACTAGCACATTTCCATTTATTCATCAGTTCTGCCATCTGTTCTTTTATATCAAATTATTTACACCAAAGGAAAGAGTTAAGAAAAGGCCAAGAAAAATAAGCAGCAGCCCAAGAGACTGATTTATAAGAAGCAACACAAATGAAAGTGTCATAAATGAATAAAAATGTCTGAAAGAGGTTGGCTTGTTGAGTTGGTGTGAGTGCTGTTTTTCCCTGACTAATCATCTAATTTTTTAGAGCCCTGTGCAAAAAACTTATTTCTTATATTCAGGATTTTAAAAGTCCAGTTTAACTGAGTTACATAGAATTGCTTGGAAGAGTCAGATGAGGTTGAGTGTATAAAAAGAGAATTATTCCAAATGAAAACACCATCTGACAGTCTAAGACTTGGAAGAGATCACTGGCAGTGAGCAAGAGGAGTCTGGAATGGGAGATCAAGCGACAAAAATTAGTTTCAGAGAAACTAGATTTAATTAGTAAACATAATATTATTAGGAGAAACAGTTAAACTCATCACACCTTTTTGGGAGACTATAATTTGACACTGGTACCAGACTTCACCTGTGTTTCTAAGAGTGAGATTATAAGCTACAGTTTAGAGCAAGCAGAAAAAAAACCATATTTTTGGTCTTTGCTGTGCTTTTATCTCTCTTTGCGTTCACTTTTGTCTCTGTTTGTCTTCATGGAAGCAGGATCCTACACCCTGATCTAATATCCCATGTCCTTCTTAATGAAATTCTTTACTTTTTCTGCAAAAATAGAGTTAATACAGCATGCTCAGTGTGGTCTGAAATAATATGAAAATACTTCCTCCATTTGAAGAGGTGTTAGAAAGCTAAGTGGTACCCATGCTTTCAATCTGGATGCTTTGGCATGTACCTATCTGGCCTGTGTCTGAAGTATGAGTCTTACAGGACTGATTGTTTGCTGTTGAACTTGAAGCTGAATGGTGGATTTTGAATACAGGGAAGTGTCATGTAATGCCTTTGTTCCCTGGGTCCCTTTTTAGCTTTGATGCTAAAAAAAAGGATCTCTCTTGTAGGTGCTCTCCCTTGTGCTCTTCTGAGCAGTACTGTTTCTTTAGGCATTACATGGAAAGGGAAAAGTGCTTTGTCTTCAATCAAGAGAGATTCCCTTCTCCCTCCCAGTCACTTGTTTAAAAAGTCTTTTTAAACTCAAATAACAAAATATATCAATATGCATTAATTTCCTTCTCTGGCAGTTTTTGTTTTGATTACCAATTTTCCAAGAGAAAAAAGGAAAACAAGAACTACATTCCTGTACAAAACGAAACAATACCAAGTCTGCATCGTGTATCAGAAAACCTAGTACATAGTGTGTCCCCCGCTCATTCATGTGGCTTTAGAATTGCAACTAAAAAGGTTTCAGACAGCCAAGTGTATAGATACCTAGTCAATTTATGTATGCTTATCTAATATTTTTCAGTTCTCAGTGATACCAAGACAGAGTTCAAAAAATGGAATTTTCTCTGATTTACTCTGCACATGATTGCTCCCCGCCCCCTGAATCTCGCCAACGTTACCATATTAAATTTTGCAGTCTCATGTCTGTCTATCTTAACCCTCATGCTGAGTCCCACTAAAGTCTGAGGTTTTGTTGGCAGCACAGGTGACTAGGACTGAGTGGAGTCAGAAGTGTCTCTCAGGTGACTGCTGGTAGCAAGGAAGATTTCTGAAAGGCAAGGGACCAAAGAGGAATGAAAAAATGGAAGGGCCAAAGGGAAAAGCAGGAACAGGAGCAAGAAGAGAGCTCTTTGCTACCTGAACTCTCTCATCTTCAGATTGTGGTCCATCTCACGGAGGACCTGCTATCTCGAGCCTCAATGACAGTGGTGAATGGCCGCCCCACTCTCACTATCAATATCTCCACAGCGCGAGAGCACTGGCTGGAAGGGATGCTGAGACATGAAATTGGTATGAGCATGACATCAGTTCTTCAGGCAAAGGGGAGTACTTGCATGCCTTCTTATTTATTTTGCCGTGATGGGCCAGGCACTGTACATATGCAGAAGGAGGGAGCATCCCTGTCTAAAGAACCTGTGCTGTAGGGAAGGAGAAACCTATTTATCACTGCAGCATGCAGTAAAAGGAAGATAATCCACTTGAGGATTCCTAGGGCTCACTTACATTAGCATTTTAGGTCAGATCAGGAGAGTGGGCTTTTGAAGTGAGTCTACCAGCTAGTCCCACTTACTGCACTGAGTTTCACGGGCCAGAGGAACCTTGGAGCAGGCAAAGTGTAATCCTTTCAAGTGATGCTAGCCCGGAGGCTATGCTCCAGGGCATACCTTCTGTGCTGTCACTGCTCGGGGACATTTTGCTCATGAGTCTGGAGTAAAAAAAAGGGAAACAAAAATAGTATGACCGTTCAACCTCAGCACCAGCCATTTCACTTTACAAATCTGCTTCTGTTATGCTGCACTGCTTGCAAATGTACGCAAGCTTTAGGTATAAAAAATTTACCCAATGACCCCTAAACTGGTGTAAGATTGCCTGGATTTTGCGTTACACAAAGTTGGCCCAGCCCTGTGGAAAATCTCTGCAAACTTTTCAGTGAATCTGTTTTAATTAAGTACATCAAAGCTGGATAAACTTGGCTAGTGCCTGAATTTCAACTGAAGAATAGGCCCTGCAATTACCTTGAACCACTGTTACTCACATTGTAAGAGGACATAGCCTCTTCCAAGGTTGCAGTAGGGCTGTTTAATCACCTGCAAGAGGCAAGATTTCTGCCCCCTTACTTTGATTCTCCTTCCTTCTGTTCACTACAATGCCTAGCCTATGCTAGAGGCATTCAGCATGTAAGACACTTTTGAAAATTCCTTTCCACGGATTTGGGAACTCAAGTCCTGCTGACGTTTGTATTCCTTAGGCATTTTCAGGACTCCCACTTGCAGTCAGTAGGTGAATAGTTGCACCGTGTATCTACCTCTGACAAAATTCCGTGTTGTAGACAAGGCTGAAGTTGGCACTTTTCCCAGTGCCCAGTCCTACTAGTTCAGAGTTCTGAATTGGGCATCTCCTTCCAGACTTTGTAATTTTGTTTTTAATCATTAGATACCACTGTTCTAAGTCCCATATTCCTTTCTTTTCAGGAACTCATTATTTTCGAGGTTTTAACAACAACAGCCAGCCTTGGTGCAACTGGACAGGACGTAGAAAACATGGATTAAAGCCAATCAACCCTACAGAAGAGGGGCTAGCGAGCATTCACAGCGTCCTGTTCCGCAAAGACCCTTTTCTTTGGAGAGCTGCCCTGCTCTACTACACAGTGTATCAGGCTAGCCAAATGTCCTTCAGTCAGCTTTTCCAGGACGTGGGGAAATTTGTCAAGGACCCCAATACTAGGTGGGATTACTGCGTACGAGCCAAGAGGGGGTGGACTGACACATCACAACCAGGTGGGTTCCCTATTTGTCTTCTCTATTTTTGTACTTCACGGAGGTTTTCAGAACACGCACAGAGCTCCTTCATTCTGTCACACAGTAAAACCTTTGCAAAATGGAGTAATGGAACTCCACGCTTTCTGAAATGAGGCAGCAGGATTTCTGCTATTTTCTGCGAGGCTGAAAAGGCACATTCGTGAGATTTTCAAACTGAATCGGTAATGGATTTTTTTGTTGTTGTTAGAAGTGAGAATGTAAATTGCAAAACTGTGAAAAGGTTCATACTCACAGTTTGACCTCCTTTAATGTTTATTACAAGAGATGTAATGTTGCTGTAGATATTCACAGGCACCATGTTCTGTGTTTGATTTCTTTCTCTGGCTGGTGGTTTTAGCCTTCTAGTTAGTTTCTGGGAAGGTTTTCGAAGTCTGGGATATAATTATCAAGTTTTTAAAAGTAAAATTGTACTGCTCATAATGGCTTCTGAGAATATGCCTTGAACAAACCCTGACAGAGTGCAGTATATCTTGATTCCTTTTAGGCTGTTTCAATAAGGATCAGGTGTACTTGGATGGCATCCTCCGAATCCTGAGATACAGGGAGTCCATTGATTTCCATCTTCTGACAGCCCTTGGAAAGGTGAGCGGGCTCATTCTTGCCAAAGGGTACAGTTTTATCGTTTCAGCAAGCCTGCCTGTAGAGAGCTATGAGTCATTGTGTGCTGTTTTACTTTGATCTAGAAATCTCTGTTCTGTACAGCACCTTGTATTACACAGTGCAAGTTACAAATATTTTGAGGTCCTAAAAACGTCTCCCAGCTTTTCCTCATTCCTTGCTTATCAGATTAAGATTTTATGGTCATATTTCTCAGACTTTCCTTTCCTCCCTTTACAGGGCACTACCTGACTTGCAGTACAACGGACTGCCTCAGGCAAGTGGTACAGCTGCTAGATAAGGCGGTGGTCCTAGTAGAAAACAAAATTAACCAACTGATGCTAACGCATCGCCTTCTGACACAAAGAGTTTTTCATCTCTAATTTCTCTCACTGACGGCACCTCTGATGTTTTTCAAAAATCAGTTGCTGGGTTTTTTTCCCCGGAATACATAGTATTTCTACATTCACAGAACATATTTTGTCTCCATTCTAACTGCCATTGCTTGTTTGTTCTCAAAATCTTTGTCACGCTTCCTGAACCGAATCCTTGGACTGCTAAGTTTCCACAGTTCGTAAAGCAGGGTTCATACTCGCATAAACCACGACATTCAAACTGAGGTTGCTATGCTTGCATTTAGAGCTGGTATACCGGCATTTCTGCCTGTTTGGCAATCACTGGGTGACGGAGGGAAGTGGCACATTATGATAGAGGGTCTTGGGTCACATTTAAGAAGTTTTGCCTTTAGTGTCAGAAACGTCTGTATTGGTAAGCAGAGCTATTTAGGTAACCCAAACAAGTTAGGAAGCTCTGAAAATAAAATTGCACTGTCAAACAAGTCTCTGCAACTTTATTCTCTGAAACTTCCTTTTGCCTTAAGCCTGCTTAACTTCACTCAGCTTCTGCCTGCTAAACTACTGAACACGTACTGTTTCTGCCCTGCTTTATGCCTTTCTCTCTCCAGGGAGTCTGCAGGATTGTCAAGCCACTTCAAAGCCATAATAAGTCATTCCTCATATAATTACAGTTTCCACTATAATCCACATGGCAAGGCATCCACATTAAGGGTCTACAAGCAATTTAATTCTAGCAATATAATAATTTATAAATGCTTGACTTTACAACTTCTAACATCAAGGGTTCTTATGAATGTTTATGCTGCACACATCTTTACAATCAAACTGGAAATTTGTGTATAAGAGCAGTGCCTGCTCTCAGCATCATAGATTGGTTGAGGTCTGCAGGGATGTCTCAAGATCATCTAGTCCAACCCCCATGCTTAAGCAGGGTCAGGTAGAGCAGGTTGCCCAGGACCCTGTCCAGTTGGGCTTTGATGGAGACTGATGGAGACTTCACAACCTCTCTGGGCAGCTTGTGCCAGTGTTTTACCACCCTCTCCATAAAAAAGTGTTTTGTGTTCAGACGGAATTTTGTGCATTTTAACTGGTACCCATTGCCTCTTGCCCTGCCAGCGGGCACTGCTGAGAAGAGCCTGATTCCCTTGTCATTCCTTCCCATGAGGGGTTTATACACACTGGTAAGATCCCCCAGAGCCTATTCTTCTCCAAGCTGAGCAGTCCCAGCTATTTCAGCCTCTCCTTGTAGGAGAGATGCTCCAGTGCCTTAAGCATCTTAGTGACCCTTCATTGGACCGGCTCCGGTATCTCCATATACTCTCAGGAAAAACAAGGTGTGTGAGTGGAGAGAAATATGAAACTTGCACTGAGATCTAGCTTGTGGTTATTACGAGTTTATCACCACTCTAAAAGGTGATTTATTTGTTTGCTTAGGGTAGAATAGGAGGATCAGGTTGTTCAAAAGGGAGTATTAAGCTCAGCTGGCCTATCTTCTGGGTTAGAAGAAAAAGCACAGGGTTTAAACTGGGGAAGCCCAGCATTTAGCTGGAAAATTCACATTGCCTTTTGAAGAGTCTCTGTGTTGTATTGTAACAAGTGAGCTTGTCTTTCTCAGTATGTCTATCTTGGACATCTTTCATTGCAAATACAATAAAGGTATGACCAGAATAGGAAATTAAAATTGTACTGCTGACAACAAATTGCTTCTGTGCTTTAGTAGACAGTTAACACAGTTGTAAAATCAGAGCACTGCTTTCTCGTGTGAATGTATTTCAGACAGAGCCATGCTGAAGTTTCTGTGTCTTCTGTTCTCATCTGAGTGCTAGAGATCTGGCTGATGGAGGCAGCCATGCCTTTCTGATGCTTCTGACATTACCTACAGTGAAGAAAAGAGTGGCACGTGGAAACAGAACACATGCGAGCTGTTCAGCATACCTAGAAGTGACTAAGGAAAGAGCTTGAAGCCTGAGAAAAGATGCTTTTTAGAAGGAGCAGTTTTAAAACTTTGCAGGAAACAACCAAATATAGGAAGCACTGCAAAACATTCATGTAGTAATCACATGCGAGTAGTACTAAAGAGAAATAGAATGCAGGTATGGGGTGCACTTTAGTATAGCATAACTACCAGAGTTTTAAAAAGCAAAACCAAAAAATTGTCACCTATTATTGTGTTTCCCAAGAATGTGAACACATTACAAGGAGCCTAAGTAAGCCTGTTTTAGCCTCAGTCTTTTTTTACCCAGTACAATGATTTTAATTACATGTGGTAACAAAGACAACCTGTTGCCACAGTAGGATGTGATTATGTTTTTGATCCCCCTTAGGATGTCAGCTTCTGTCATTTTTTTTAGCAATTGAAAGGACTGGGGAAATACATCCCATTCAAACCATACCTAGGATCACAGATACTTATTTCTTGGTTGCAGCAGTAACAGAAACCCCTGAACATAAATATAAGGGGGAAAGGGTCCTTTTTCTTTCCTTTGTTTGGGATGAAAGGAGGTAGAGTTTCAAGTTGGGACAGGAGGGGAGGTCAGTATTTAATCTCATTTGGTGCTGTGTCTCCAGACTGAGAGGAGGTGGTACGATTTCGCATAGCTCCTCTGTATCTACTTCTAAATATGTTAATCAGCTGTAACGCCACACCATCTTCAAACAGCAGTATCTTAGTGACTTGAGTAAGCCTGGGCATGGGTGTATGCTTGGTTTTTTAATCAGGGTGCCTCTTGTCATTGTAGCTAGAAAAGCACACGTGTACTCCAATGCAAATTCATTCTCTTTGCGGACTTTGTTCCCAAAATCATCAGCAAGCTACGCACCTGACTCTGACTGCCTCTGTGGATCAGGTTTAGCAATCTGGATTACACCGTCCCATCTTTCCAGAGAGCCCTTCCATGCCCCTTACACATCAGTGGATCATTCATGCTCACTTCAATCTTTTCCAAATAGAAACCATCACCTGCTGAGAGGGCAAGCTGTTTCCAGGGAAGCCTGACCGCCCAGTGCTCAGCTCCTTAGAACAAACATGGGCTAAAAAGGTTGGGAGGAGCAGGCTCCACCTGGCACAAACCTGCTGTGAGGAAATAGGATGTGCCAGTTAGTAAGCACAGTCAGGCTTGTGGTTTTGCCAGTACATATGCTTCTGTCTGTAGGGTGCCCAGAACATGCAGCTTATAGACAAAGTGGCAACCACATAAATTTCATCACACTGGATAGCTGCCCAAGGAGTCCTGTTCTGTGCTTGCAGGGCAGCTCATGTAGCTGTTGCACAGCCAAAGCAGTCATCCTTTCTGGACCATCACTCACCTTGGTGAGCTACTGTGAGCTCAAGACTTGAATTCCTATGTAGAATCATAAGACTATGGAGAAGAATCTCAGCTTTCATTAGAAAAAAAAATTAGTAGGCTCTATAGTAGCTGGAAAATGTTTTGAGAGTGTCACGCCTGTACCCAGAAGGCACTGATGCCAAGAGGCAAACCCAATCTCTGCCCTTCTATTGAACAGGGAAAAAAAAAGAAAAAAAATTTGGATGCTTAAGAGTTGCCCATGCTGTAGTTAGTTACTGTAGGCGCATTTTAATTTAGCTTTGCGTAAGCACATTTGCTGGTGAAAATGAAAACATCAGAGTTCAGGTCAGCTGGCACCATGCCTTTCCCAAAGCTGGAGCCTGCCTGCTTCCTTTGCCATGCCTGTCCTGCACTCCCCTTCTAGTTCCTCAACCTTTGGCACAGTGTTTTTTGCATGCTCAATGCCAATCTTTCCACCTTTTTGAGAAGAGACTCCAAGACTCACATGTGCTCTATCCTTTCCTCTCTATTCCTGCAGCTGCTGTAGGTCTTTCTTATTCAGGTTCCTGTGAGTCTGTTCACTGACTCAAAAGCAGAATCAGGAAGTATGGAGGGTTTTGCTAAAATTATAATTTTTTGCATCTTCCACTGAGGCACACAGTTACTCATGTTGCCAAAGGATTCTCACAAGCTTTGAAATCCCCCTGCTCTGAAATCTTTTCTCATCTACAAGAGAGAAGTTGAAGCCGCAGCAGAGAAGAAACAAGACTATAGTGCAAAATTAACCCGTGTCCTTCCTTACAGATCTCGTATGAGGACGTGGACCGCCTGAAAGGATTAGCCGTGATTGAGAACATGAGGGTACCGCACTTCTTGCAAGACCATGCCCGGTATATGGAGCACTTGGAAAAGATCATGGAAGTCAATGAGCTGACTGATGAGGAGCTCCAGGATCTCATAAATTAACAGTACTGGCCCACCATTTACTTATTCTGTGAAGATGTAGAACTGGACTTCCCAGAGTGTGCAAAAATGGACTTATGAGGGGTGGGGTGGGAGGGAAGGGTGGCCGGAATATGTGGAATTCAGAAAAAGACCCTTTATGTTCCTTTTGCATTGTGATTGTATACTGATTATTTTTTAAAGGCTTTGTGCATTTTTTAAAATTTGGCTTAGGAATTCCTTTGCCGTGATCTGTCCAATCTGCTCTGTTTTGTATAGTAGGCATAGTGCTTGACACTGTCTTTTGTAATATACTGCCTTTTCCCACACAGGTTTAGAGGTGAAGGGAGAAAGAGGAGAAATTCCCCCCTTAGTTCACTTGTGTTTGCGCTGTCTTTGGTCATAGCTTTCACAGTTCATAGCTGCTGTAGGATATGCTACATCGCTGTCTGCATAACTCTTTACCATTTGGTCATCATTGTAATGGAAAAAGAAAGTTTAAAAACACAGTGCACAGAAGCAGGTCTTTGTGCCATAGGATCAAAATTCTGTAATGCTATAAAAAGTTTGTTATTTGTCTTTACTGGGAGGCTTAGCATTTAAAAAAAATAGGTATTGCTCTTTTAATGACTGTAAGCAGGTAGCAAAGTTATCCCCCTTTGTCCCCTCAGAAAGTTACACTGTTCCACGTCTTTGTACACATGTTTCAGGAAGCTGAATTCTGGAAGGGATCTGCCTCCTTTGAGGACAAGCACAGCATGTCTAGGAAGTTCAGCATGGCAGTGTTTTGGAAGAAGGATCGGGCAGAACTGTGATTTCATGACTTACATGTTTTAAATAAATTCAGGAACACAGGGACACAAGCCAGTGCAGCAGGCAGCACCCAGTTCTTCTCTGGGTCACCTGAGCCTGCAGAGGGTCAAGTCAACTTTTTGAGCAGTACCTCCAAGCTGCAGCAAGCTTGACCTTGCAGGGCTCATTGAAGAAACAAGACGTGAATGGGGGGGGGAAAAGACGATTCACAAGTGCCCTATTCCTGTGTTCCAGCAGAAGTGCTGCACCACTCTGAAGCAACCTTACCTCTGTTTTAACTGCTGGTGCTATATCCAGAACCAAGAAGAGAAAGAACCTTACTTTAAGGCACAGCTAGTCACATCATAAATAGTTTAGATGACGGGGGAGGACTTACTACATAAACTACATTTTCTGAGTCCAGAATATTATGGAATTACTGAGGCAAATTGAGCTTTGCACCTATAAGTATTCTGACAAAGGGGTTTGTTTTACTAGATGGCATTTTAACCAGGGCCCCTCTGAACTCCCAGGAAGCAGCTATGGTAGGAAAGGCTGGGCAGGAACTACTCAGAGCCATGGAGCTTCTGCCATTTCTTCCCCTTCTGCTTTGGCCCATTGGTGACAGGCCTGGCATTGGATAAGGCGAGTAGATGGAGCCAAGGTTTCCTCCACACCGCATTTGTGTGGGCCTGAGCCCTGGTATCCCTCCCCCCCACTTATCCTGTTCTTTAATGAAAGGGATGGAATAACCCTCTCACCTTATTATACAGCCAGGACACGACCAGCCATGACAGCAAGATCTTGAGAACACATTTTCTGATCCATGGGAAAATCTGTGAGGAAAAGCTCTCAGTTGGCTAAGAGGGCTGAAGGTTTTCAAATAAGCCCATAAAAGCAGCTGCCTTTTAGATAGTATGGCAGATGTATTTCCAGCGGCTGGCTGGCTGACTGCTTCCAAAAAAGAAAATCTGCTCAACAAGCATAAATTTACTAAATTTGGTTATTTTCAAGGCAGCAACCATGAACTGCTCGCAACAGCCTTAATTTTGTATTGTCAGTATTGTTCATGAGCTGAAAGCCTTTCAGCCTCTGTATGTTGAAATGAAAGCCCTTTTTCTCTCCTTGCCCGTGTCAGGCTGTCTAGTTCAATCACTGGTGACTTCGCCTGCCCAGCTTTGTTTTAGAGCTGTGCCAAGTAGACATTTGCAGTCACGCACCCATGTGCTCCAGGTTTTGGCTCCTTTGCCAGAAACAGCAAGAAAGCCACACACAGCTGAGGTCAAGTCAAAGATCGCAGTCAAAAGCTGTCTTTCGAGTAAAGTCTTTGGGCAGAGATCATTTGAGCTACACTATGGAAGAATCTGGCTCACTTTTCTGACCCAGGGGCCTGTGAAAGGGCCAGTCCTTTATGAAAGGGACAATTTTGAACCAACTTTTTTCTTACAGAAGAGATCCCTGCCATCCTGCAGTGACTTCTATGTAAGCAAAGTGCTTTTCCTCCTCCCCCAGTAGTAATGTCTTATAGTTGTAAGTGTATGTACATATTGTGTCCTTGAAACCAGGAGTCTGTGTGCTAGTCACCCTGCTTTGCCACAGAATACCACACCCACAGCTCTTCATCCAACAGCCTGTTGACTCTTTTTACCCCTCCGTAGCCCTTAATGCTACTACAGGTCTTTTTGCTTGACTTGAAGACCTGCATCATATTTTCTTCAAAGCAGTTGGTGCCGTTAAACTTCTGTTCTTTGTCACTCTAGAAATAGATCTGGCTTGGGCAAGGTTGGAGCCTAGAAGCAGTTGGTAATACTGTAGCAACAGATGAAGCTGTCACCTTATGTTTTCAGTGTCAGGTTTGTCCTTCCACCTTTGTAAAAGTGTTTCAAATTTTGAAGTGTAGCTTTTGTGAATTTTCTTGAATTATTTTTTTTTCCACACTGTGAAGGGGCTGGTTACTAAGTCATGCTACTGAAGTTCGGTCATAAAGCGTATGGACAGCAGTGCACATGAGCTCACGTCACTGCACAGTTTCATGATGTCAGTGATGTGATGACATCCTTTCCTAGCAGTCTGGCTCAGCTGTGTACCCATGTCTCGCTAATTTTACATTATTCCTATACAAAAACCTGGTCAACATTGGAAAAGCCTCCTTGTTTCACCAGACCAATTTTAAAATGCATTTTATACCACTTTTACAAATAAAGATAAATGAAGAATGACAGAGATGAGAGTACTGAAGTGTTGTGTTGTGTGAGAGCGTCACTCTCTTTCGACGGCATTGGCTCTGTGACTAGTTGGACATCCCAAGCTGTGCATGGAAGAGATGGCTTTCCGATGCAGTTTTGAAAAACATCACTTGGGGTTGGAGTCACGAAGGGCCTGTTGAAGTCGTACATCGGGTACAGCTCCCTCTGCTCTGTCAGGAGGCCTGGCTGCTCATGAGGGAGTTGCACACCCTCCCTTTTTCTAGGATATGGTCTGAGGCATCATCAGAGCCACTTTGCTGTGATGCGTTTCTCAGCACCATCCATGTGGGAAATGGCAACTCCCAATGCTCCTCCACTTTAACACTTCAGCCCACGCCCCTCTCCCCGCTGCTTCATTTCCAAGCTCACGTTATAAAATGTGCTTGCTTATCTCCAGAGTCCTGTCATCGCCTTATGGTTCAGCTCCCTCATGTATAACATTTAAGGGGTTTGGGTTCTTTTTAATGGAAATACTTTAAAAGTCATTAGCTGATGTGCCTTGCAACTTAGCTAGATATTGCATTGCATTCCCCCTCCCTTGCTAGCTGGTTTGGAAAACTCAGCCTGAAATCTCCCCCCTCCGCAGGCTCCCAGGTCACCACTGTTCTCCTTGCCCAGTGCCTCCCAGATACCCCTTCTACAGTGCCAGTGTCAGCAGTGTGAAACACAACGCTCGAGCTTTGCTGGGCAGGTGTAGTTCAATACTGAATAAATGCCACATTTGTTACAGGTGATCTGCAGGACTACTGCAACTCTGAAATCCTTCTTCCAGCACTCGAGTGCTGTGCTTGTGAAGCTGGATGCCCTGCAAGCAGTTTCAGGAGCAACTCGAGCACCAAGTGTCTCAGTGATGCTCCTGGCTGCCTGGTGAGGAGAGAAAGATGGAAGTCATTTACCAGGTGGAAAGCAGGATGGAAATCTGACAACACACGAGTCAGGGTGGAAGTTGAGAGAAGTCTAAGTCAAGAGAAAAGCAAAAGGAAACAGCTGGAACAATTTTGGGTTTTTAAGGCAGTATTCATTTAAAAGTGTCTTAGTAATTTTCATAATATATTAGCACCAAATTCAGAAGTTCTTTGAGTTCTTTTCAGTATGCATTTTAAAATGAGGTCATGTCTCTTTAATACACAGAAGGGAGAATCTATTTTGGCTTTGCTGAACAATGCACTTTCACAACTGAAAGTCTGTATTAGACTAAATCCAGAAAATCTGGATATCGAATTTTAAACCTATTAATTTATGCTGATTCAATAGTAAAAAGATGCCATCAGGATTACCTTTCAAGGCACAGCCATACCCTTCCGATTAAAGTTGTCTAAATTAATTTCTTATGGTGCTGCTGAACATTTTGTATCTTTCCCAATCACACAGTGCCTCTGGGACAATTTAACCCCCTTTTCCTGAAGCGTCTGCGGACACGCAAGGTGAAGCACCGCGTTATTTCAGCTCTTTAGATAATGAAGAAACCAAGGTTGAAGTTACAACTACGCTGGCCACCGTACGAAGCAGGAAAGAGCATGGATGGAGACCACACAGCCAGGGCTCACACGAGTGAGCAGGACTGGGTTGGATAGGCGTGGTTTGGAAGAGAAGAAAGTTCCTAAGAAAACTCAGTGGTGGGAGAAATGTGGCCGGTGACACCGGAGCAGCTGGCTCCAGGCCACGGTATTCCTCTTGTGCTGCAGGGCCAGAGCAGAGTGGATGCCGCCCTGCAGGGACCCTCTCTGCTGGCCTGTGCGATGCTGTGGGGCTTTGGAGGGGAAACAGAGGGCACACACCAACAGCAGCCCCCCTGCATGGCTACTCTAATACTGCGCAGAGCTGGGCTCATGTTCAGGCCCTGCCCCAGCAGTGCCCTGAAAATTGCACTTGAAGGGTCTCATGTACATACATCAGGGCCCAATTTCCGTCTCATGCCACATCCCAAACAAGAGACCAGTCAGGCTGTTGCCTCCAGCTTACTTGCTTATTTCTCCTGCTTGGATTTTGTCCTGGTCTCTAGCACTCGTCCTTCAGGCTTTTTTTAATCCCAGTCCTTCACCTCCTGTGTTTTCTCAGGAGTATGTTCACTACCACATCATCCTTCTGTGAGCCTAGAAAGTAAGTCAATTCACTCCCACCCACCAAAAAATTCCATAGGTGATCTATGAGTCAACCTCTTTTTCTTCTCCCCCCTGCCAATATTTCAAAGCTGAGGTCCCCTGTGTTTTTGATGTTCCTTTACAGCTTTCAGAAAAGAAGCTTTACCAGGTTTGGGCAAGATTT